TTATTCGTCATGATTAGCATATTAACCAAATGGGTTTTCAAAAGGAGATGGAGCCTGTTATTTAAGTAATATTAATTCGTACCAAGCACCGAAAATATTGTATGCAGTGAGGTAATCAACCATATTTTGTAAAGTACGCAATAGTCATATTAATATTTTATCCTTATTTTTTACCCATTTAATAGTTAACATTTTAGTATTTTGATGGTACCACCACACTAACTAACTATACTTGACATCCCATTGTAAATTTGGAAGGCTGCTCTTCGTGTCTAGTTCATGTTGGTGCCTAATTAAGTATGGCATAGTATAGTTTTAAAACTAAGTATAGTTAATTTTATTTATAAAAAAATCGGTGAAACCCATCGCAATCGACGACGGTTACTTTCAAGGTTTACGACAAATATTCATCCCACTAGGTTGATATCAGAGTGATAATGATAGTGCCATCAAAATATTAAAATGTTAATTTATTAAATGGGTAAAAATGAGTATAAAATATTAATATGACTAATGCGTACTTTGCAAAATATGGTTGATTACCTCACTGCATACAATATTTCCGATACTTGGTACGAGTTAATATTACAGTACTTAAATAACTTGCTTCATCTCCTTTTGAAAACCCCTTCGGTTAGTATTCGAATCGTGACGAATAATCGCCATATTTTTAGTAAATACAACCAAAATTTGTATATTTAAATTTGTAAATTATTGTAAATCTTAAGCTACCATGCTATTCTTATGAATTAGTTAACTGTTGTAGTTTGTTTGTTTATAGATTTATTATGATCAAACTTGGAAAATTAGTGATTTTATACTAAGTTATTGATAAATACACTATAATAACCTACCTGTAGCAGCAAACCAAGGTACCTGTTGAATCTAATTTTATTTAAATACAATTAATAAAACATCCAATCAAATGGAGATTTGCCGAGTCTGCAGGTTTGCTGTGGCGGAGTTGTTTTACTTATAATATAGCTTAAATTTTAAGATTTTATAGTATCACACTATTTAACTAAATGGGATAAATTATCATAATCCTTGAAAGTAACAGTCAATTTCCATGTGTTTCACCTATTTTTGATAAATTGAAAAAACTAAATATACTTAATCACAAATAACTCAAAAGCCGTTGGGTTTAGAGAAAAATGGTAAATACAAAAAATGTGTATTTTTGGATGGCCTACATTTTGTATGTTTATATTTTTCCTGTATCTCTAATAATAAAGTCACTATAGCGAAAAATACAGAAATATGCCACCATTTTCCAACATGGCGGCCGTAGCACAGCTTCAATTTTAGGGGACTTTTAGTATGTTCAAAAGGAAGGTACACCCAACATCTGTACCAAATTCCCCGGTTGTGCTAGTTTTTATGGGTCAAAACATATTTTTATTGTACTGTATAATTATGAAAAAACCTCAGCTGTCCTTATTTGTATGTTATTCTTTCAATTTATTTCCTTATTAAAATCAGGTGTAATTATTTGTTTGTATTTCTGTATTCTGTGTTGTTTATTTCAGCTTAACTTAACACTTATCCATTAATAAAGTGGAGTAGGTTGCATTCCCTTATAGATAATGTTATGATAATATGGCGGCCGTAGCACAGCTTTAAATTTAGGGGACTTTTAGTATGTTCAAAAGGAAGGTACACCCAACATCTGTACCAAAGTCCCCGGTTGAGCTAATTATTTTTAAGTTTATGGAATTTTTCTCTTATTTTTATTGCACTAATAAGGGAATGCAACCTACTCCACTTTATTAATTGATTTATAAATATAAATTTACTTAAAATATATAATCAAAATTCCATTAAAGTTATAACAAGATATATTTCGATTCTATAACTTATATTACAACAATCTCATGGGTTATGATTTTGGTTTAGGTTTTATAGATGGGCCAGGTAACAATTTGGAGAGCAATGATCTTAATCAAGGGGTATGAAATTCTTTGATCTCACTCATGCACTACTTGTGCCATTCAACTTTCTATTTATAAATTGTAAATATTTGTATTGTTAATATTTTTGTTACTATTGATATTGTTACTACTATTAATATTGTTACTACTATTGATATTGTTACTACTATAGTTATTGTTCACTATTTGTACAACTTTTACTATTTTGTTTCCTGTAATTTCAAGTTGTGAATGTTTTTCATTGTAAAGTGGCTATGCTGTTCGGAAAAAAATAAATAAACAGTTAAGGTGACTCTTCTCTGCCTTGGGGCCGATCAAGCATGTCCTAACCCGAACAAGGTTACTTTACTAGACCCTAAAGGCTGACTTTATCATTCTAGGTGGAACCCATCGATCTCTATTATGAATAATAGAGATCGATGGTGGAACCACATTTGTGAAAGTGGTGGGGATGGAGGGAGGACAACAGCGACCGAGGTGCGGTTTGACGTGGTGGCACCTTGACAGCGACCCAAAAAAGACAGGTTCATCATCTCGTCATAACAGTGACATTTGGAGGCTTCTGATTGACTATAATGAAGGTTTACTAATCGAACATTTAGTTCTGTTCATTAAATAAAATTATAAATACCTCAAATTCAATTTTATATTTTTTAAAATTATGAAATTAAACTGTCATAACCTAACCAAACTAACCAGACTTGCTGATAATGAAAAATTGAATGAAGGCTTAATCGAAAAAATAGTTCTGTTCATAAAATAAAACTATAAATGGCTTAAATTCAATTTTATAATGTTATTATAAAATTAAAATGGCATAACCTAACCAATAACCAACCAAACTTGCTGATAATGAAAAAAATCTAGACAAAAAGCTAGTGCCATCGGAGAGATTCGAAAATCCGCATTGGCGCCAGAATGACGTCACTTTTTTCTCCCCTCCATCCCCACCACTTCCACAATGTGGTTCCACCTGGTATGATAAAGTCAGGCTTTAGGGTCTTCTTATCTATAAAAACCACTTGCAACGTTACCAATTCTACCAGGTCGTGGCCTGTAGTTAAAGGTGACCATGATAGCTTACGGCCATTTCCGTCTAATCATACGTCACGCTTAACGTATACAATGCAAACTAAGGCAAAAATCTCAACATAATGCAAATTGTATTGAACGTGTACTGCTATCATACCTAACGTGACCATATATTTTGGACTCCGAAGTGGGACATCCCATACCATTTATACCCATTGTTTATACGGGTCGCTGTCAATGCGCCACCACGTCAAACAGCCACCTCGGTGTTTTGGTCAGAGGCGTCAACGCCGTTTACCCGCCACCACAAAAAAAACCGAGGTGGTGGGTTGACGTGTACGTACAGGTCAACCCACCACCACACAATTTTCCGAGGTGGCGGGTTGTCGTACACACTCAAGTCAATGAGCCACCATGACAACATTCCACCACGACAACATGCCACCACGACAACCCGCCAACACCAGTTTTTATCAGAGGTTGCGGGTTGTCGTGAAGCTCCATGTTCGATGTCGGCAACCCGCCACCTCGCACGTAGGCAACAACGCGCCACCCCGTCAACCCGCCACCACTCTTTTGCGAGGTGGCGGGTTGACGTGTACGCTCGTCGCTCAGTGTTCGGTGCCGTCAACGCGCCACCTCGCTCATAGGCGACAACGTGCCACCACGACAACCCGCCACCACACAGTTTTCCGAGGTGGCGGGTTGTCGTGCGTGTGGCGGGAGGCCTTCTTTTAGGCAACCTTTCACCTAGGTACCATTTCACTTAAATCACATATCAAGTTGGTACCGACAACTCAAATCGGTCAGCTAGGTCCCGGCCCCTCCCTTCTGGGGGAAGGGCGTGGCTTCGCCGTGGTCACGTGTTTCGCGGTGCGGTCGCTTACCCTCTACACTTCTGAAAATTCCCTCGACTTCTTTGAATTACCTCTACTCCACCCAAATTTCGCGAGCCTTTCAAGACCGGAAAATGCCGCGCTTCTGCGCATGCGCTAGTAACTGGTGGCGTAGCAGCAGCTATTTCAGAAAGTCACGGTCACTAACCACTAACTAGCGTCGTTGTCGTAGTATTTATCTTGACTGCACTGCAACTGCAACTAGTTCCTCATAATTATTATTCATATCGCTTGTTATTCTTTATGTTATGATCGAGTTATGTCTGAGTTGAAGTTGGGGTTAATGTTATTGATAGATTTTGATTGCTGCTGTGTTGCGGAGGTCCGATGATGTGCTCCTTCTTCAATGCGAAAATTCTGAGAAATACGAGTAATGGAAGACATCAATTATGTGGAAAAGTTTATTTTTAGTTTATGGACGAGAAGTACAGAAGGATTCCAATTAATAAGCCAGCTATGTTCAACAAGGCAAGGCCAATAAAATAATTTGTTTTATTCACTAGCGCTTTTGAATGGAAACATAGTTTCTGAAAGCGCTAATAAATGATTATGTATTAGCGTTGTTGAACATTTACATTTTGTTATAAATTTCATTGTAAGCAAGATGCCAATAATGAATAATTCTCAAAAAGCTTAGACCATTAAAAATGAAATGAGAATTGGGATCTTCTCTTTTGGAAAACATGTTTGGGTACAATTGAAGATAGATGAATAGATGATAACGGTAACGTAGCCCACCCAAGTTACTTAAAATTAGTTTTATAAAATAAAGGAGGTTCCAGAGGTTACAGTAAGTTAAGGAACACATACATAAACATAATCTGTAAAATTCTTCATTCAGTTACAGTAATTAAATGGTTTGGAGTTAAGCGCGGGAGAACCGTTCCAGTTTCAAGTAGATTGTTGCAAGAGTTGCAGTGAAGATACTAGTGTGATTTTCTGAAACAGCTGCAGCTGTTACAAGTGCTACGAATAACGCTTACTTGCGCATGCGCAGACGCGCGGCATTTTCCGGTCTTGAAAGGCTCGCCAAATTTCAGCCTTCCTTCGTCTCGTTTCTTGTTCTGTTCTGCGTTTCTTCTTCTTCTTCTCTTCTAGATCTGCTGCTGCTAGCTCTAGCTCTCTAGCTCTACTAGTAAGTTTGAGGTTAGATTTTGGAGAATTTATTGTTTGTCAATTTCAATTGTCATACAAATTTGTATTTTAGGTGTGTATTTTCAATTTAGGCCTCAAGTTACAACTACTACAGTTTAAAGAACCATTTTTGTCATCACAAAATTGAAAGGTGCAACTTATTGACATTTATTTATTTATTTATTATCAACGGTTCTACCATTTTTACAATGTTGATTAACAATAACACAGCTAGATTTCAAATGACTTAAATAATGGACATGGACATGGTCATTAGAATATTAACGTTTCAAGCAAATTCAAATTAGTTTCTGGTAGCCTATAAAATAAATTGGGGGTACAGTTTCCTGGGCTTCGCTAATATCGATTGAAACTATCAAATTGAAAATATTGATTAATAATCGATATTTAAAATATATCTATTTAAAAATTAAACTGCACTTTAGGCCTAACGTCCTACACTATAATTTGAATAAATATATCGATCGATAAATTGATTATTTCATTCAATATATCAAGTTTGGTTAGTAAAGTTAACCTAACCTAACCGAATGAATCGATACATCAAATAGGCCTAGCCTATCCATTAGTTGCATACTACGCTTTAAGTTGGATTTTTAAACTCATAGAAAATTATGACTATTAGTTTTAATATAACTTCCAGTACTAGACTATTGATCGATTTCGAGCAACAAGTGCACTAGTTTTTTTTATATTTTTATTTTTTATGAGATGCTGACAAAGTATAAAGTTTTTCGTATGACAGTTTTAGTTTACCATTTGAGTTTTTAGCATTTTATGACATAGGCTAGCCTATACGTATTTTATACTCTCAGCAGCTGGAGTAGTGTGATTTTTTCTTTGATTATTGTGGCTTTACGTGACAGGTGGAGGTGGATGGCTATAACTTACAAGGTTACATGGTACACATTAAATTCATAATGATTTGCCTATTTCGGTAGACTGGCTTTTTCGTAGGCCTACGCTTCATTGCTCTTTACAATTTCAAGAGATCTATTGTTCAAGGCGTCAATGGGCAACTAACCTAAGTTTATCGCCATTCTACCGCATTATAACCCACCCTACAGGGCCCGGATTTTGTGGGTAGCAAATGCACAACTAACCTACCGCCAGGGCAACGGCCATCAAAACATTTTTATGTGTGATAATAAACCTTGTAGGTTAGTCTAAACTTAGTTGATACTACTAACAAAATAACTTAGCCATCTTAAAGACATCAAGTAATTAAGTAGGCCCATTTTATTGGTCGTTGAATAATCACTAATTAACTTACTATAGACTTCGTCTGAGACACATTAACTCACGGTATATAGGCTACTTGATCAATAGCGATATAGGCCTATTATCACAGTCACATTTTTTATGCATAGCCTATCAAATATATAGGCTCTATCACAGACGTTAAAATAAATAATAAGTAATAGTTGTTCAGTTAAATAGATCAGGGGTAATAGTACTTGTTGTAATATGTAGTTCTACTTCATCAAATCCATTTCAATGCATCAAGCAAAAGAGCTGTAACCCCATGATTAACTTAGCCTAGGCAAGTCTAATAATATTTTAAGACATTTTTATTTTATGATATTAAAAACATTAGGCTACACTAAGCTAATGAAATCTTCCCAAACTTAGCCTACTCGGCTTTTAATTTTTGCTTCGATTTTGACTGCCCTACCCGTCAATGAGGTTAAGGGTATAAGTTAGGCCTAACCTATACAAAATCCTGCCTTAATCTGAATGGGAAAACATTATTATTTGCAGATGATACAACGATGCTGTCCAGAACCTTTAGGATTATTACAGTTGTTCGGCATTTGGATCATTGCCGGCCAATCTTAAAGGATCTTAAGCTACGTTTCCATTCCTGCAAATTTGTGCCGGCACAAATCTCCAAATTTGTAGGAATGGAAACATCCTGGCTCAAGTCGCGGCACAAATTTGTGCCCGCTGACTGCGCGACAAAACATGTGCCCGGGCCGCGGGCACATGTGCCTGCAACTCGTGCATGCAGCAGGTCCTCCAAACTACCGCATGCTCATAAATGACAGGTAATCATAACCTCAAATTTCGTTGAGTCCGTTGGAGGAAATTTTCGAAGCCACTTTGTATGCGCAAATCTCTCATCAATTGATTAAATGCACCTTCCAATGCTCTTTTAGCCAAAAAACTTCTTATCCACTATCTAGGTAGTTTTCTTCTAAGTTCATTGTATGCACCAGCCATAAATAAAAAAGCAGAGGCTGTTATGTCATCCATGGTGATTTGTAGAACACAATATAATCAAAATCAGCCACCGAACCTCACCACATCACAATAAAAGAGAACACTGCCTTGTCTGCCAGTTGTAGTGGCGGGACTTGTGCCTGGAATGGAAACGGCATGACAAACTACGTGCGACATGTGCCTCGTCATGGTCACGACATGTGCCTCGACTTGTGCCTGCGACTTGTAGGAATGGAAATGTAGCTTAAGGGTACTCACGGCGTAGTGCTTGATATCCTGACCCTAGAAAAGATGACGTGCAGGCAGTGGTGGATTTAGAACAGTCACAAGGGGGGGGGGGGACCAGGGTGTCTGAGAGGTTCGGGTGTACCCCCTCCCTCCCCAAAAATTTGTTTAAACTAAGTCTTCAAAAATGGCAGTTTTATACCATTTCTTTGTCCTAAGTTAGTGTGACAAATTATTTTACGCAATTTGTATGCACTACTGTATTAAATGCAGTATGACATATATTTCCAAACTGCGACTGCCCCCCCCCCTCTGGATCCGCCACTGGGGTGCAGGAGTACTATACCAGAAGAGCACAAAATATAGACTTTTCCTGCTGTCGTCTCAAACATACCTAGAATAGCTATCCTCGTTCTACTATTAACTACAATTCATAACTGCCTACTCATTTGCAGGAGATGGATGCACCCTCCTTCAGAAGGCGCTGAAAGGAATACTAATTATAGGCCGCTGTACTCTGTAGAAGAACTTAAGGAAGAGCACCTAGTGAGATAAGTGTATATCTGCCATATCATCCGTTAAACAGCCAGGTTTTTGAAGGTATAGTTTATTATAAATATTATATATAGAGTTATTTATTAAATCACTTAATAATTTACTAGCTTCTGTGCCCGTGCTTCGCAACGGGAAGATGAACTATACCGCCTAATCCAAACAGTTGTTAAGTAGTCCGAATTTATGAACAAAAGCCACCAAATGTTGGCCTACTGTATAAAAAAAAATTATGACCAACATTGTAATTGCCCTACTGTTTACGTTAAAATATATCAATAACATAATATTCATTTTCATATTTGAGTTGTTTTGTCTCAAGATCAATGAACCAACTATAAAAGATATAAAATTACCCCAGTACTGCCAGATTGATCCTGTTTAGTCCTTATGGATTACAGGTTTTAAGGACTTAAGTCCTCATCATGAGATCTTGTACAAGAACATTTAACACTGTAACTTCGAAAGGGTCATCAAGAGTTTAAATGCGAAACACGGACATGTTCTATTTACAGTCATAGACGTTTTATGAACAAAACGAGTAGGCTTACTGACAAAAACTTACAATGTCCAACCCCAACCTCGTGCGCACAGTTGCAGATGAGGGTCATGACTGCGATGCGGAAGATGGTTGGGCGGTGGACTTTGTACAGCTCGGCTCCTTGTTCATCAGCTGATCTTGTTTTTTTATTAGAGTATCATACAAAGCGTTAGACTGTAAACTGATTTTGTCGTTTAATAATGTGTTAGCTTGAATTTTGATTGTTTTTTAAATTTCAAATTCTTCTAAAGCATCCATTCCTGTATATTGCTTTTACAATCAAAATAAACTACGCCATGGCTCGGTCCCCAGGTACTTATTTCAATTCAGGAAATTAAAACCTTTACAACTACTTAGGCCGTCCAGAAAGTAAAGAACGTTTCGTTATGACGCCGCTAGGCGCGCGCCGATCTCGTACATTTTGGTATGTGCGTACTCGGCAACTCAGTCGGCATCCAGCCGTGACAATTGGAGCATTCTAGCGCTGCCCGTTTTTTCACAATTTCAACTTAAGATGAGCGCTGCAATAAAAAATCCCGCCAGTTAAGGAGTGCGGTCAGTGATACGGTTTTTGTTGGAAAACACTTAAAACCGAAACTTCTCCTCAATTTTCACGGACTTTGTTGTTTAAAATTGTCACGCAACAAAGCGAAAGACCCGTTATCGGGAATCGGCGGTTTTTGCGAACCTTTTCATCAACTTTACCAGTTCCATCAGTCATAATGCTCGGGCGTCCGCCCTTCGCTTCGTCATGACTCATGAGCGTCAGATCGGCCATTTTTAATCTGAATGCACCATTTTCTCAGAACTTTCAATCATTACGTTTTTTTCCTTAACCCTCCCAGTGTTACTTGACGAAAATTCGGCAAGCACCACACTTTGTATAGTGTTACTTGCCGATTTTTCGACAAGCAGACATCGTTTACGGCGAAGGCTCTATAACTGACTGAATCGGATTGAACTGGATCGAGTTAGGTATCGTTCTTTCCGTTACATTCTAAGCTGTCTCCAGATGTCTGTCTCTAAGCGCTATTCATTTTAGTTCTGAAAATATTGTAGCAGACAGCTGACGTGCGTGTATTTGTAAACAGCTAGGTTCCCCCGGACCGATGACTGATGTGTTTTATTACGTTTATCATTGTTTTAGTGTTAAAAATCAAAAGTAGTGATATACGTGGTGCATTATAAGAAGATTTAAGTGGTTTTGAAGTGCTGGTTGATGATCCTGAAGAAGTAGGTAGTGATATTGATGTAAATTATCAGCCAGATTCCTAGCTATGGTTAGGCTATGCATTCTTAGCTAAACGCTATGTACTGAAATCAGTTTTTTGCCCATAACTTATTTATTTGCAAATATACTTCCTTATATTATTATATATTTGTAATCCTCATAAAATTTAGAACAAAGTGGCTATTTTCAAATATTTATAGGCCTATAATTTATACAATTTCATTAGGCGCGAACTTATTTTTTTTTTTTAAATTTTCGAAATTATATTTTTTTTACCTTAAAAAATTTTTTTTTGAAAAAATTTTCCTTATGTTTTATATATAATATTGAAGCCCATGATTTTCCAAACAAAATGGTATATAGAACATTAGAATTAACATTGTTTTAAGCTTCTCAGATCCGTTTTAATAAAACCTTGCAAATGCGCCAAAAATAGGTGGACATTAAGGCCTAAACTATGGACACTTGGAGGGTTAAACTTCATACCCTTGGCGATAAATGTCTATCGATTTTAAGTTTAATGCCAACACAAACCGTATCACTGACCGCACCTCTTAACTGGCGGAATTTTTGATCGCAGCGCTCATTTTAAGTTGAAATTGTGAAAAAACAGGCAGCGCTAGAATGCTCCCGTTGTCACGGCTGGATGCCGACTGAGTTGCCGAGTACGCACATACCAAAATGTACGAGATCGGCGCGCGCCTAGCGGCGTCATAACAAAACGTTCTTTACTTTCTGGACAACCCACGTATTATTCAACAAAAACTTCTTTGCACTAACTTGATCAGGGAAATATAGGCCTAGACAAAATATAAAAGGTTTAATTTACCTGTTGCTGATCCTGTTAAAACTGTTAACAAGGGCAGGCCAAGACCATAAAGCACTTCATCCAAAAATAAAATTATTGCGCACCCCATACAGTTGATTTCTTGAAGTTACAAGTTCAGGCGTCCGATAAAAGCATGTAGCTTCCCAATAAGATCCTCCTCAGGAAGATATCTACCTCTTGCCACATTAACAAGAGTTATTCTTCTAGCAAGAAGAATAACTCTTGGTAATGTGGCAAGAGGTTAACATGTGTCTTTAACAAGCAATGAACGCCCCTTAAAGCTTGAGTTTGTGTCGCACGTTTGTAGGCGGAATAAACCAGTTAAAAACTTTTAGTTAAGGGTACCTATGGTAATTTATTGTAAAATAAGACCTTTTTATTTGAAACTACCAACTACATCAACCCGCATAATTTGTACCCCCGAGTATTTTAAAATTGTGACTTTCTTTACCAAGATTAAAATGTTTGTTTCAGGAAGAAAGATGTAGCCCCAGCTCTGGACAAAAATATTATGGAGAAGGTTGGCCGCTGTACAGGGCAGCTATAGTTATTATTATATGTTGCCTTTTATTGTTATGTACTGTTTTTATACTTTACCAATAAACCTTATATTTATCTAGAGCAGTTAATTTTGTTAAAATTCTTACCAGTAAACTTCTCTGTAATTTGTAAAGAAAACATGTAAAAATGATTATATATTTTATTTTGATCTTCTAACTATTTTGACAGTTTTATAGATAAAATATTCTTTTTTTAGATAAATTTTTTTATTGTTCTTGTTCATACATGTCTCAGATAACTATACATAAAGATAAAATGATATTTATATTTGTATCATATATGCGAGTGCCAATCTTAAGAAGCAAAGTTAATATATAGCTAGTAAAATAAAATAATGTTGGTGTTTAATGACTAATGAGTGTACTGTAAAATTGAAATAAGTAATTCAAAAGTTGAAACAAAAACTCTATTTAGCCAACCCAATAAAATCACTCAAGAATTTTCCTCTGAATAAATGTTTGAACTTCATAGTCTAGAGGTGTTAGAGTTAGGTTAATGAGATATAAGACTGCTTAAGGGTGTTGCTCAACATGTAATGAACAAAATTAAATTAAGAAAAACAACAAAAGTAAAGCAAAAGAAAACTTTGAAAAGGCAAAGATCAACAATAATAAGATAAATAAATGTACAACGTTATAATTTACAAGAAAAGAAAATCAATTAAAAAGTTAAAAGAATGAGTTACTGACAAACTATATGACTTGTTTGTTTTACAAAACTTTAGTTATATATTTTATTCTTTTTACATACTGTTTATTGTCCCAGAAGCACATGCACCGATACACACACTCCGAAACTCTCGATCTTCTTGGTCCAGTGGCCCGTGGTGAACTCCTCGATTTGTTTCTTCAGCTCCGAGACTCCTCACCCCTCCATTTCCTTCATTAGCCCTTCTCATTGGCTGATTGGGTGTTTGACTTATAGGTTAACGATGTTTCTTGGAAGTCAGCCCTACCGGTCATCGCCTAGCTCACGTCAGCTGTGAAAGGAATTTGTAAATCGATACTCATGCTACTGTTCAACTCTCTTCACACCATCTGGTCGACTATAGTCCTCGCCACCCTAAGTTGAGGCAGCCAAAGGCCGCACTAGATATACGCCGTGCGGCCTTGGGCTGCCTCAACTTAGGGTGGCGAGGACTATAAGTGTAATGTAAACAGAGTATCTGCTTAGATGAGCACCGTGGTTACGGGGTTAATCCCCTTTCTTACAATGTAAATCTATGTTGTAAACTTCTTGACATACGAGAACTACTTTAAGGACAATTTATACTACGCGTACGCTCATTCTTCCCGTATTGGGGGCCTAAGACATTGAAAAAGGCTGTGCTGGTAAAAGCGACCAGAATACACAGTAAGACCGAAGACCCTAGTTGTTGCCGCACATAAAAATTATACTGGATATATAGCAGGTATGGATACAAAAATCATGGATGCTCAAACAGTGTCTTGCACAGCAGATCATTTTGAGAATGCCAGAGGTCTTGGCACAGATGTGCTGAATGTCTGGCCCAAAGCCCAAACGCATATGGCGAGTCAATAAGAATCTGGGAAATAGTCAATATCCAGAGAATTTTGTTAATGCCAACAATTTTTAACTTATTCTTGGTGGAATCAACCATTATCTTTGGTCAAGTCTTAGCTAAGACATCATTAAGAGACTGAGACGGTGGTGTCATCCTGTAATTCAGCTACTAAGGAGGTCACGAAATGTGGATATTTATAGGCATGTACTGTGGATGTGATACTTCCTGGTTTGAATTAACGCCCTTACTAGTGAGTACTACGACTATCCGCAGTACTATCCTGATAATTAGACCAATTTTTTTATACCTACCAAGGAAAAATGTGGTTCGGATTCTACTATAAACTGTAGGTCCCAATAGTTTCCATTAGCCCAAAGTATGGGCTATTAATTGACAGTTGTGTCTAAGGAATATGTCAGCCTTAGTCACTAACAAGGATACAAAATCGTGCCACTCATCTCCATGCATACTGGTACTTGGCTTAAAATACCTACTTTGTATGGTTGCCATTTCAAATTAAAGTATTAAGCCTAAGGCAAAATGACTCATAATCATAGAGGGAAGCAACTTTCCACAAACAGATTTATATCGTCAGCGAACTAAGCAGGGATCTTGATAACTCTCTTGATGTCAATATATACAACTAAAAATATCTGTAAATTTCTTTTGATGTTTTCATGATATATATGCAATGCAATAACTTTTGAGTAACTTTAAGTAGTTTTTAAGTAACTTTTGAACATTAAAAATAGATGTTAACAACAAATTTTTCGATGAAACTCTTTACAAAAATCTGAAGGGCAGGTCCAGAATTGATGGCCTCTCAATTCCGTAAATTGCATCTGTGATGTTTTTTAGTAAGTTCAACGCTAAATGATTATCAGTTAACTTAACTTATCCAATCAATATTTAATTAATACTTATGAAGTCAAACGGAACGGGGTGAAGCCCGTGGGTAACTGCTAGCAGTCTAGTTGATATAAAACACGTTTTTAAAAATAATTCGTTTGATGCTTTAAATGCAAATGTTAGGCATTTATTTTATGAGTTATTTAACTTTTCATACAACAGATCTATGGGACATAACAATAAATTATTCTCTTTAGCGTTCCTTTAGCGAAGCACGGGTATGGCGGCTAGCTATAGTACGCTCTATTTCGCAACGGGTACACAAGTTCAGAATACATTTAATTGGTTGATGTAATAATTAAGTCAATAGCCCAAAAGTAAACTCATCCGATTTATTGTGCATCCTATGTTCAATTGTGTTTTGGATTTTGTCACATAACCTGAAAACCAGTCAAACGGTTACATGGAAATTGTGGGAAATTTCGCTCTACAAGTGCCTGCTGCATCCCTGCATTTATCCCACTGAGCTAGATTTATCCAACAGTGTTGTCATATTGAGGGAGTAACACTAAATTCAGGGGCGTAATCTCGCTGAATAAAATTAAAAGTCTGCAGCAACACCTATTTCAAATTTTAAAGACAGCTTTGTCTGGAGCTCCGTTTTTATATATTCTACTACTTTATTTAACTTATGGATTTTATTTTGTACCTTTCATATGTGTTATATTTAGCTAATAATCTTAACATATAAAAGTAAAAGCCCTCACTCAATGATTCATTACTAATCCAACTTCCAGACTAGCTAGAACGTTGAAATTTGGTGTACGATTCTTCAGGCATTAAATAGGAAAACTAAGTAGTTTTTATCCTGATCCGACTTTTGGGTTCCACCCAAGTGGTTCTGGAGTTTCCTTGTTAACCTTATAAGTATCTATATTATTAAAAGACTTTGTTGGATTTTGTGTGCAGCAAATTGACCCATAAGTTTGAATGTTTATAGGCATATTAGGTATCCATATATTAAATATATAGATACCCAATATATTTAATAGGCAAACACGAATTTTGTGACGTATCCGTTTTGAAGCTGCTATGCATCCGATCACCACGTAGATAAATGCTTTCCATTGACCTACCTTTATATTGATTGGCATATCACTGACAAATGATCACTATAATGTATCTCAAAAAATATATATAAGGCCTAGAATAATAACATTTTGCATTGGGACGACAATCCATGTATATGGTGTAGATGTACAAAGTTGGGGGTTTTGCAAAGTTCTAAATTCAAGGGTGGTTTAGGGGATTAAAGCTATTTCAGAAGAAATTCGAGTATGCAAGATATTATATTTTGGTCTGTAACTTATAAGCTACAATGCTTGGATCTTAAATCTTATGGAAGATCGGTAGTGTAGAATTAAATTATCCACAACTTTTGTATTTCAAGAGTGTTTTTCTATCTCAAACATATTTCGAGTAAAATAGGGTTACATTCAAAACTGTGAAAATTTGCTTGTTCCTCCACCTAAAAACTAGTCAGTGTCCGTACGTTTAACCATATGATTACCAATCTTTTATTTTATCCCGTAAACATTTGAAATCTTCTATTCTAAAGCTTCAATTCAGTATATGTTGTTATCATTAACCGGAACTGCTACACAATTTGTTGTAAAACGGTGATAGTTTTCGTTAAACGTTAATAGAGTCAATCTTCTTATATTTAAAAATAAATTTAACCGATTTTCATGATTGAGGTCTCAAATTGAAGGTGTGCACAGATTTCACTCTAAGCATCGGCATATATATTGATCTACTGTATTACTCGTCCAAGAAACATATATTTGACTTTTCGAATTCTTACTTCAATTTAAGACGCATTTCACCAGTTATAATTATAATAATCCTACATATTTTGGTCTAAGAACCTTCAGTGAAATGCCGGCTTTCATTTAAGCTATTAATTAGTTACCGTATCCAAATCGGACGGACTACAAGCAATTGCAATGTGAACAACCAACATATAAATTATTTTTTTATAAGGGTTTTCTATGATTAAAAATCAATAGTTCCACTATTAATTGTTTATGCTTTTTTTCGGACCCAGGGGCATGGAAAGAAACTGGTTCGCAAGATGATGGACTTAATATCGTATTTTGTTATTTACAGTATTTCACCTATGAAAAGTTCAAACTAGATATTTTATACATATAATTTCCTTCGGCATTTAAACTGCCTACTTTGTAGCCGTAAATATCGGAATTACCCACAAAACCCTTGTATGGGAATGTTTATTGCTCCAGACTTTTGGGTTGGCAGCACTGTTTACCCCATAGCAACTACTCCCTCCCCCAGAAACCTTGCAGCCAATGAGAGCAGTCGATGCCCCCACCACAAGAGCAAGAGGGCGTTCATTACCTCACCAAATTGAAAAGTAACCAACCTGACCGATTTCAATATCGGGCAGGTAGGTCCCTTCACCAGTTTGAAAGGTTACCTACTAGAAGGGATCCCACCATAACCGTATAATAGTAAAACACCAAACACAGGAGTAAGAATTATGTTTTATTTTTATCTATGGTACTAAGTTATATACTATATGGATGGTCATATTTAATGTTCTGATAAACGAACAATAACAAATCAATTTTACCGAACATTTCTTACACATGTGATCAAACCTGTATATTCCTCTATGCATCATCTCAAGACCCAAAGACAAAATTCCATACTGTTCTGTAGGTACTTCGTACTTCTGTTTGTGTTTGTAAATATGTTTTACAATGGCGGGATTTTTAAAAAATCAACACAATTACATTAAAAAACAACTTAAAACGTATAAACTTTTAATAATCTAAATTTTTGGGCTGTAAACTTAATTTTATGCATTGAGTAAAAGTTTAAACCACTTCTGAACCCATTTAGACGTTTAAAGTAAAATATAAACTATAATATTGTGTTACAGTGAGGGTTAATTTCACATTCTTTTGTATTTCAGCGACCCTCTTCAAAAGCAATTAAATATTAAGTACTTGAATATTTGATGGTAGAACAGGTAAAAAAACTCTTTTAAATTAAAAATCTGGCAAACTTATGCAAAAAAACCCGTTTGTTTACTATCATTATTTGACTGAAATACAAAATTTTCGAATCAGCTAGTGATGGTTTGGCGGAGATCGGGATTTCAGATTGGGCAATGACGGAACGTTTGTAGGCAGTGAAAACAACCGAAGTACTGTTATTCTATGTGTGTTTAAGCTGATATTTGACTGTGAATTTATGAAATGTGAAGTTTAATGTTAGAATCAGACCAAAACCCTATGTAAGTATTTAATATAAGGCATGAATTCGCACTTTGAATTTTGTAAACACAATCCTTGTTTTAGACGCCATTTGCAAGAACACAACCGAGAGTTCTTCAATCTTGGTTCAAATTAAATACGGAATACTTATTGCTTCTTCGCATACATGCATTTCTCGGCGATAAAATGCCTTCAAATTTGTAATATCTTCACAATAACCTAGACCTTTGATCAGTAACATTTCTAATTACAAATTTGCTACACTGCTTTCCTTCCATGTTAGGGCCTAAGTAGGCTTTTCGTCATGTTTGATGACAAGACAAGATCTAAATTAATTTTATCACACGAAGTAGTTATATCAATATTATTATAAATTAAACCTATATTTTATGTTAACAGACTAGCCTTTACTATTTTAAGTATCTTTTTGGCATAATAAGTTATCTTAGGCCTATAACTATAACTTAATTGTCTTGAATTTTGCAATACAATTCATTATCCTGGGCTGAAGATAGAGTCAGAGTCCTCAATGTCACTGCTGCTGTATGCCGAGGATATTTTCTAACCATAAAATTTGCCTGCAAAGTGACACAATATTTCAACTTTTAGAGCGGGAAGTCTGTGAACATAGGCATACTCCTCAAGTCTGTGACCATAGGCTTACTCCTTAATGCTATGTGTCATATCAGTCTTACTGATAAAAATTGCGCAAGACCCGACTGAAAAGTAGCATTTATGCAGCTATAACTTAAACTTAGGCTTAGTCCAAGCTCCAATACCAAGCAGGGTTGTAGGTTGGAAACTTACTTAGGAATACTTAGCTGTACAAACTTTGGTAGGCCTAGGCTGTTGTAAGTTATTTTCTTGAGTTGGAATCTTACCATCTTGACCATGCAATTATTTAACTTAGGATACCACGATAAATATAAGTTATACCTATGGTAAATAAGTTATAGGCTATAAAAAATAACTTAACATTGTATTTTAAATACCACCTTCCCCTCGGCCTAAATGTGCTAAAGGTATACCTTTATATTGTTTGTTTCCTTCCTAACACTGTTGTACACTTCCAAAAGTTGTTTATTAGAGTTAACTTGTTGTTTATTAGACTTTAAAGTGTCCCGAGACAATTTTATTACAAAAATACGGTAAGTTACCAAACTCAGTTTTTAAGGACGTTTGGTCATCCTAGTTTAATTCAATAACTGGCAAGTTTAAACGTAGGCCTAGTCTATGTCCTAACTCTTACCTACGTAGTGTATTGAGTAACTTAGGCCTACCGGTCCCGTTTATTATTTAAGATTTCATAATGGTTTAAATAGGTACCTGCATTCAGTAATCCATTATGCTGCTTGTGGCAACCATAGTTTCGGTTCACAGGGAACCATCTTCAGGCCGTTCCCTGTGAACCGAAACTATAGTTGCCACAAGCAGCATAATGGATTACTGAATGCAGGTATTTAAACCATTATAAATATTCAAACGTAATCCGGAGGCTAACAACTCTTAAAAATGAAATTAATATTTCAGTATCTTGCATTGTTCTAGTTATAAGCATGACAAAGCCTAATTGTATTTATTGTAAATATTTAACGGCAAATACATTTTTGAATCAGTACTCTTAAACTTATGACATAGTAAGCCTATTATGAATACAGATTACCTAACTCAATTCAGTACTACATATATGAGTAACTTAGACTAACTTAAGTTAAATGATGATTAATAGGGGCTTTAAGCTAACTTACTAAGTAAACATTCTTTTGAAACCCCCCCCCCTTTTTATTACCATTATGCCCCTTTTCATTGTGAAAGTAAGTGAATAACTAACTTATTATTGGCTAAATTAACTTAAAAAGATCTATTTCCTGCTTAAAGAACAGAGGGTAATTTCTTGTAAAGGAGAAACATTTTAGAGGTCTTAGTGCGGACAGTTCTGCAGAGAACCTGCGATATATTATCGGATCAATATATATATATTTTTTTAAATATGATTTGGTTCAATAACTTATATAGGCTAAGTTAAATATCATACTGAATTTAATTTGACCATAGATATAAACAAAAATAATTGCAAAAACATTGAGAAAGTTGTACCGGTAGTTTCATTTTATTGAACATCAATAAAAACTTAAATAAATGATCTAACTCAATTCGGTTTTTACATTAAAAAATTCACTTATATTGTTGAAACAATATATCAAACCAAATGAAAATTTAGATAGGCCTACCTTAATACCATCTCTTCGTTTTTGACCAGGTTTACTGGATTAACTGCATCAGTTTTTATTAATTTTAAATCAAATAGCAAAATCAAATGTTCTTGTCATATTTCAAAATAATATTATGTACGGTACAAATAGGTCACTCACAAACTTGGCAGGTGGAGTAGGGGTTTGAGTCAGTTACTCGCAAGATTATCATCAAGGAAATCCTTGATGGAGAAATAGGCCGACTGAGTAAGCTGGTCTTTCATTGCTTTCTCAAACTTCTTGGTCTCAAGATTTCTCAAGTCCTCAGGCACCTTGTTAAACAGTTTCAATGCCATGGTGGGGATAGGCCTATATTGAGGTTTAAGTGTATAATATAGGCCTATCACAGTTTCTCTGCGGAACTGTACTCCTTAGTGCTCTAAGGTAGCCTAGCAGAAAAGTTTGATCAAATTTATTAAATACTGGATTACCGGTACCGTATATTAAACATATTGTTTAAATATAAATTTCACTCAAATAAATGAGACATTTGAATCTTGTTCTCCACACTCGGTTTTGAGGTATTTAGCCTATTGGGATAGGAAGTAACTAAATCTTTATGACAGTCGTAAATAATTAATCTCAAAAGTATTGTCGCTTACTAAGTAAATACAAATGGTTAGAACCTAATTTAACAATTATGTTACAGCCTTATAATTTTTCATAGCAGTAACTTATCCTCTATAGATAACTGCATGCGTAACAATTTTGCTACATTGGCACTTTTTATGGTCACTATTTCATTGAAAAGTATTCATCAGAAACTGTCATAACCTACTTAATGGTTCATTACCAAGCAAATCTTCAGGTTTCAAATCTTTTAATTCCAGATGATTGGCATACCAGATTCAGTAAGAGATTATAATGGAGACGGAAGGTAAACCTCAAGACAATGCTTTAACCTCGAGTATCTCGGCCGTCACTAATGGTTCAGAGGTTCTTGGTTCTGTAACAGACTCGGAGGGTGGAATTCAACTAAGAACCAGTGCTCGAGTCTCCAAGAAACTCAAACTTGACTCTCTAGCGCAAGCTTCAGAGAAAAAAGGTGAGGACAGAGGTCAAAAATATTTAAGTTATGCTGTTTATTTAATACCCTAATGCTTTGTATTCCTGGCTATCAATAACTTATGTTTAATCGATGCAGTCAAAAATGTTCAGGCCTACTATTCCTGTAGCAGGTTGTCTTTAAATGAATTATTTTTGATGATCAACGCATTACAAGTTCAAGTTTTTTGGGTCTCTTCTGTTGGATAGGCTGGCACGTAGTATGACAATCAATTGATCAATTGATTAGTGACCATCAATTTAGGTGTTGTATAATACCACCCTAGTATTACAGAAAATATATTATACACCACTTACAAAAAGATAAAGTATGTCAAATTTCATTGCAGCCCTCACAAACACATGAGCGGAATGAATATAGAGTTGTACCTGTTATTGTGGCAGGCAATGGTCAGGGGAATAAGCTCCGAAAATTGGATATTCCTACTGTTATCTTTTGCTTCTGTATTTGCGGCTCAATGGGTTAGGCCTACTCATTAGTTGAACCTGTGTGTTATATAAAGTGCTTCTTCACTATATGACTTGCAATGGCTCATATGTTGATTTCGGGTTAACCTAAAATTGAGGAGGCCAAATTGCCTTTGTCTTCTTAAGCCCTTAAGGGTGTATACCGCCATTCAAGCAATGTATTCATGGACATGAAATGCAGTTAAATAAGTATGCTGGATTAGTTTATATGCAAAAATTGATTTCTGTAGATCAAGGATGGTTCTACAAAGTGCTCGATTTGTAAAAAATGAGGGGTCAGAACTGTTACCTATTTAATATGATTAGTAGGCTACCTTTTACAGCAATTTTTTTATCTCCTAAAGAGAGTTACCGGGACCCGTTCCGCCGCAAATTGAAGCACTGGCTATAAAATTACCTACATTATAGCCTAAATAGCTGCAGAGCTGTCTCCCTATAGCTGGGATAAGTACGCTCTATTAATAATGGATTGTTCTCCAGGCACAGTGGAGATTCTCAATATTCAGAAAAGAGCCTTAAGAATCATCACCTTTAGTGACAGACGGGCTCATAGTATGCCCCTTTTCGTGAAACTAGGAATTGTCTTCTGCCATTACATTCTCCTGTGCCTTCTTCATGTTTGGGATAAACATACGTCCCGTGGTCCATTCCGACAACACCAGGCAGAGAAACATGCTGGATGTCCCCTGCGTTAGGCTCTCTAAGACAGCTGCTACCTATCAAATTCAGGGTCTATAAAGTTTTTTAATAAACTGCTGAAGACCATTAGGGGCTGGAGAAGGGGTTATCTTAAGGACAAGCTTATGTCGATTGAGAGAGCCTACTATAGCATATCGGAGTTCATGACTGATAATGAGATTGCAAACATACGGTAGCCATCTTTCTATCATCCCTGGAAGTTATTTTTGTATATGTATATATATTGTTTTATCTATCTTGAACTGTTGTACACGTTGTGAAGTATTTTTTCTTTTTGTGCGTGTAACAGAAATGTTTTTATTTTTCTGTCAAGCCGCAATCTATCTCTATTTTGGGTAAAAGACGAAGGAGTAAGTAAGTAATAAAAAAATGTATTTATGTTCATGAGATGAATTAATTCACTACATATACCTTTTGAAAAAAATGTTTATTTTATTTTCTGACAGTTGAGAGATGTAGGCCTAATTAAATAGGTAGCATTGGTTTTGGATATAAGTAACATTGGTTTCGTTAACAATGTTACTTCAATTTTGTCTTTTATATTTAACTAGCTATCCAATGACAAACAAAACCAAACAGCCAAATAAATGCCATAAATTGTTGGTTGTAATTGACTGATGGATAAATGTGCTTTACTTTTTCAGCCATATGAACAATAGATGGAGTATAAATTCTTTTCCTTGTTTAGTATATGCTTTGCCTGCAAAAGTGTAAATATTTCAGGGCCATTTAGTATTTCCTAAATAGAAGTAAGTAACGTTAATTTGTTTGCTGTTCCAGATCAAAACCATGAGGAAGAGAAGAAGGTGGAAGTACCTCCAGTCGTTGAAAGCAAGCCGAGGTCCAAGCGAGTGGATTGGTCAGCTGAGGACAAATGTGCGTTTTTTGAGGCGCTTAACGAGTTTGGCAAAGACATTGACGCCATTCACAACTACTTGGTGCAGAAATCAAAACGACGTGGTGGTCAAGAAACAAAAACCAAAGACCAAGTGCGGTTCTTCTACTACAGAATGTGGTCTATTCTGTCAAAACACATAACTTTTCCTCCTCGTAAGTATGTTTTCCTACTTAATTCATAAATTTGTTGTTAACAATAAGGTGAGGCCTACTGTAATTAGAGCTTTGTCTTTCTGGCTACCAATTAATTGTTAAAATTCTCGTCTCATTTCAGACATCAAGAAACAAACACAGGAACTATATGCTCTAATAAACTTTGGCGAGCTTCGCAAGAAGATAAGTTTCTCTATCAAGAAGCATTACGAGAAGCTCAGTGAGATGATTTACAGCGGCTCGACGCAGCTCAAGTTCCGAGGCAAGGTTCGGAAAGTGAGAACTCCGTTGTGTAAGGCTCTGCGCAAGCTCAACCAGATTCAAGGTGGGTTTGATCTCAAAGAATTGAAAAACCAACATTAGCAATGTTTTGAATTAGATTAGATCCGTACAATGCTGTAGTATTTCAAGTAGTAATGGGTCAGTACCGGTACTGGTTCCTAACCAAATTTGATTCTCGGTTTTCAGTTCCGGTACCATTGGTAGGCCTACATCATTTTAAATTAGGCTACTTAATTGTTTTATTTTTTAAACAAAATACAGTATCCTATTTCAATTTTTCAAACGATTATTTTTAATTAGTTTAGGTTTGTTATATTAAGGGATTAGGAAAATAAATCGTAGCCCTATTTGTACAAAATAACACCTTAACAACCAAACTTATTCAAATCAAAACAACATATATACCATTCCAGTTTGAAGTGTTAAATATAGGCCTATTTGTTGAAATGATTCTTTGCTAATCATAAATAATCAATAAATTTAACATAAGCTACTAACTTTGGAAAGAAAAGTGGCAATTTAAGTTTATTGTAAAATATGACGATTTCATACGTGTGTTTTGTATGTTTTTATGGCAATAAATTATTTGATTGAGCGGAGCGAGCGAAGCGAGCGAAGCTCTTTGGGATCAACTTCAATGCAAACAATATAACACCATCACTCAATAACGGCTGAACACATTTCAGCCAAACTTAACAAGACTACTTAGACTAATAATGAGATGGTTTGTAAACAAACAAATTTCAATTAGATAATGCTAATGCAATTTAAAACGAACTTAAAATTTAAAATTTTTAACATTGGGCTTATGGGACTAAAGTAGCTATGACAGTTTTTTTGTTTACAAGAAAAATGTAAACAAGAGAATCATAAGGTATTTCTGAACTTTCTATACTTTTCTTTTAAACGATTTTAAACCATTCCTATGATTTTAATAAACAAGAAAATGCCGTTAAAACATTTTTTTAAGGCACGGAATTCACTGAAAATCGAGAAAATATACTGAACTACTTTCTCAATGCGCGGAGCATAAACAAGGAGCGGAGGGATACGGACCGGTGACTACTTTCTTGGGAACCTATTTGTGTTGCCAGCTGATTAGAAACAGCCAATGTTAGAAATCAGGATTTAATAAGCGATATATCGAACCGCATCGAAATCGGTATTTAATCCGATAATACCTCATAGGTTATATTATGTTTAATTACATCGACGGTACAGTAAGTTATTACACTTATTGATAAAACGCAGATTGAACACTGATTTAGGCATGTGGGGAGGTAGGTCGGGGTTTATGAGTATTCGTGACTACATTAAGTGTTTTGAAGTAAGGTTAGATTAGGAAGGTATAGTGTAGGTATACTTTATACTTTATACTTTCTTATGAAATGGTGACCATACTATGTAGGTATTTTAAGCCAAGTATGAATGGAGATGAGTGTAGGATGAGTGGCGCCATCTTGTAGTCTTGTTAGTGACTAAGGCCGACATTCCTTAGACACAGCTGTTAATTAATAGCCCAAACAGCTAATGGCAACTAAGAGACCTACAGTTTATAGTGGAATCCGAACCACATTTTTCCTTGGTATATACGAATTGGTCTAATTATCAGGATAGTACTGCGGATAGTAGTAGTACTCACTAGTGCGGACGTTAATCCACACCAGGGAGTATCCCATCCACAGCGCATGCCTATCAATATCCACAATCCGTGACCTCCATGTAGCTGGATTACAGGACGACGCCACCCGTCAGTTATAGGTAGGTGATCGGGTTGTTTATTTGTGTTGCACCATATAATTTTTTAACTTTTGGAATGGAATAGTTGGTTAAGGTTAAACGGGGAAACGATTTCAAAAATGCTTGCATATGGTCTTAACTTAACAAACCATCTACAGTATTCTAGCTTTGACTTTATATAAAGTCAATGATTCTAGCAAATTATTACATACTGACCAAAAGAAAAGAGAACTTTTGGATTTGTACCTTTGACCATAGTAAAACTAACATATAATTATGGAATGTGAAAAGTTGTATATCATTATATACTATTCTGTAATATTAATAATTGTTTGGCAAATCCTCATTTTAATGGCTCGGCTGAAAATGGAATCTGCATTTTGTGAAACAGTAATTTGGTAACAATTCGGTTATTTCAAATGTTGATAACAGTAGCCCATCCTATATAAATACTGTTATTTGATTGCCAAGCCACGGACTATACATACATCCAGTTACAACCGTTGATAAGTAAACCTGGACTTATAGAAGTACACTTTTAACCACGGTATGGATAATTGTCTAGGCCTGTCCAGAAGTAGGCTACTAATTTCTAATGATATTATCTACATTGTATATTTAAGGCATGTCTTCCCTACTTATTATATTATTCTGTTTTCACTTAAATCAGCTGAATGCGATGTTTACTTATTACTTATGTTTAGGCCTACATTTCAGCCATTTTATGTTACACGGTTGAATTTAAATGTCAAATTTCCCCTCCTGTTGTTATACTTTAATACTCGTTTTTTTATAGTTACTGTTTTTTTTTATACTTAAATACTTTAACCGATTGTAAGGGTGAAAAATGTAGCCCAATGTTTTTTTGTTGTAGGCTACAGTTGCATTTGAATGTTAAATTACCTTTCTCATTTTTATACTTTACTTTTTGGATGTTAATATCAGATTCCAACTACTGTAATATTTTCCTGGTCAAAACTACCATAATGCACTTCTCGAAGAGGTAAATTTGAGTTATTATAATTTTAATCTTTAAAACCAGCATTAGTAAATAAATCTATTGACCTTTTTACATTTAGTTACTTATACAAATATCAAATCACGTTTGTTCCGCTCAACTGGCTTTCACCTCTCTGAAAACAACCCTAGTTATTTCATGGTTCTGGAAATTTGTTAAACTAAGTTTTAACTGCCTGATAGGAAGTTCTAGCTAAATATTTAGAACAAAGGAAGTAATGTTGAGTCATTTTGTACCTATAGCATGCATTAAGTTAATCTTAGGTTCCAGAATTAAGAAAAATGTAGAACAAAAGTATTTATAGAAAGGATGTTTTGAACATAACTTTTTAGAAAATAGGCCTACTGGTACGTTTTCATTTGAGGTTATAACTTAATTTAAGGTGCATGCTTGTTGAAAAACTTAGTTTAGTGAGTCGGTGGCTCAGTCGGTAGCGTCGCGGACTTTGAGCTCAAGGCAGCAATGTCGTGGGTTCGGATCCTGGTCACTACCGAAAACATTTGATCAGTACAGATCACCTTTGGAATGTACCGGCTCACTCCTTGCTTTGCTGTTATGATCCACGTACGGGCGGTTAGTCTATGTGGACGGGCATATGCAAGGTTAAAAGAGGCTGCCAACCTCTTTTAAAAAAGAAAAAGAAAAAAAGGCTTAGTTTGGGGACTGTGATGGTTTTTTGTAGGCCTAACTTAGTGCCTGTACCGGTATTGTGGGTTTTTAGGTATTTCATTCGGTTAAAAGTCCTTTTAGACCCCCCATCTCTGGAGATAGGCCTATTAAATAATATGATGCATTTCGAAAATCTGTTGTTTGCTTCATCAATTTTAAAACATTTCCAAACTTGGGAAGCAATTATCAAGAATTTATCACAAACTAGTCTATAAAAACAACAACTTGTGGTAGCGCTACATTCCTTTAATAAGCTAATCCACTTTCACTTATTATTTACAGACCAAAAAAATTTAATTATTCACATCAAAATATAAATTATTTAAGAAATCCGATGAAAACAAAGGCCCAATCTTCAATTTCAAAGAAACTAGACACACGACCATAAACTACATTTAAACTTTCTCACCTCGAGAAAGAAAGACAAAAACAAAATTAAGTACAAACCACCGAACAAAGCATACAAACAATAACAAATAAAAGCTCTTTTTGGTTTGCTGAAAGAAGGCTTTGCTGTTTGTCATGTAGCCATGTAGTTTCATCCATCAATACATAAGTTTTACCTTTGAACTTGAAATTTAAAATAGTGAGAGGCCTTGCGAAATGCGCAGTGTTGCCATTTGTCACGGTGGATACAGATCGAATGCAATGATTCGTCGAAATCATGAATAACCCAAAGATCACATAAGACCACGCCTATCTAACTAACATTCAAGCAGCTGAAGCCAGGTCCCCATCTTACTCTAGGATAGAAGCGCTATATGCCAATTGAAAACGGCACCAAAACTCAATGTCCCGCATCAAAATAACTTGACATTTAGCCTACTTAGACTAAAGGTAAATCGTTGTAACTTCGTATGAAAGATGTCAATAAGTCTAGGACACTATTGGTTCTAATTAAAAGCTTAAGAGTTAATATTTCCTATTTTAAATCTTCAAATAAAGTCGGTACTTTTAAATGAGTTTTAAAATATGACATGAAAAAGTTCGTCGGCTGCTACCTTTTTTCAGGGTGGCTAGTGACCTGGAAAACCTGGAAATGTCAGGGAATTTTAAATATCTGGAAAAGTCAGGGAATTTTATCATAAGTCAGGGAAAATTGTAAAAGGTTTAAAATAACTTTAATAATTGTCAGGAAAGGTCGATCTGGTGAGAGTACGTTTGCCGTGTGGGTGGAAACTAAGAAATATGTCTGTATAAATAAATTTTGTGATTTTGTACAATTTATAAACTGCGTATCATCTAATCAAACCAAGTTTAATTTATTAACCCTCCGAGCGTCCATCGTCGAAAAATCGACGCGCTACACACTTTGTGTAGTGTAATGCGTCGATTTTTCGACGCGCGAACATCGTTTACGGCGAAGGCTCTATGACTGACTGAATCGGATTGAACTGGATCGAGTTAGGTATCGTTCTTCTCGTTATATTCTAAGCTTTCTCCAGAGGTCTGTCTCAGCGCTGTATGTTCTCCGAGCCGATCGTAATTGTAGCAGACAGCTGACGTGCGTATTTGTAAATAGCTAGGTTACCCTCGGACCGATGACTGATGTGTTTTATTACGTTTATCATTGTTTTAGTGTTAAAAATCAAAAGTAGTGATATACGTGGTGCATTATAAGAAGATTTAAGTGATTTTGAAGGGCTGGTTGATGATCCTGAAGAAGTAGGTAGTGATATTGATGTAAATTATCAGCCAGATTCCTAGCTATGGTTAGGCTATGCATTCTTAGCTAAACGCTATGTACTTAAATCTGTTTTTTGCCCATAACTTATTTATTTGCAAATCTACTTCCTTATATTATTATATATTTGTAATCCTCATAAAATTTAGAACAAAGTGGCTATTTTCAAATATTTATAGGCCTATAATTTATCCAATTTCATTGAGCGCGAACTTATTTTTTTTTTTTAATTTTCCAAAATAATTTTTTTTTACCTAAAAAATTTTTTTGAAACAAATGTTCCTTACGTTTTATGTATAATATTGAAGCCCATGATTTTCCAAACAAAATGGTATATAGAACAGTAGAATAGACATTGTTTTAAGCTTCTCAGATCGGTTTTAATAAAACCTTGCAAATGCGCCAAAAATAGGCGGACATTAAGGCCTAAACTATGGACACTCGGAGGGTTAAGGTAAGTTGCAAAGTTTGAATATAAGCTAGCCTGTATCTATAGATTTTATGTATGTTTTTCATATAAACAAACATAAGATATTCTTCAGATAAAGATTAGTCCTTTTGAAGAATTAGTTAGCATTAAAATTGTAATTTTGAATTTGTCGATCAGGGAAACTTTGAAAAAATCATGGAATTGTCAGGGAAAAGTCAGGGAATTTTTCAATGTGATTTCACTAGCCACCCTGTTTTTTATTTTTTGGTCAGGTTAGTTAAAAAAAAAACCGTGGATATTGTAGGTAAAGAGCTGAATTTTTTCATCATATTTTTCTATAGGGGCTACTCGCCGGCCGCGTTGTGTCATGCGGGCAGATTCTACTTACAACCTCACTTGTAATACAGTTTAGATACTCAAGTTTGGAACTATACAGAAAAGTTACTAAAAGTAATTGGAGTCCATGTAAATGTTCTTCGTTTTATTAATCTAAAAATTAATATTTTTTAGCTCTTTCACAAAAGTTTATATAACAGTCAGAATATAAAGGAGAGTTGTATAAAGAGCTTCATAAACTATCTTGTGACTTTGAAAATTTGTACATTGTAAAGAGGAAACCAAAAGCCAGAACTTGATCAAACTTGAATAAGATGTAGATACCTATATTATAAATTAATTTGTAGCTATTCAGAATTTTTTTCTTTTGCCGAAAAAGTTTTTGTTTTTAATTATTCAAACTAATTTTTTCTAAGAAACGGTAAACGCTAGAAAAAAATTTAAAAGCGTATAGTAATAGAAATAATTATAATTCAAAGGTGTATTGTCACGGATATCATTGATATAGCCTAAACTAGTTTCGCCCGCTATTAGGCACAGGCGGCAGCTACCATCTTGGTTAAGATTAGTGAAAAATACTGGCTTCACGTCGCGGCTCCATCTATTGGTCTTATGTGATCGTTGGAATAACCCAACATTTAACCATTGGGCTTAAAAATATGAATTCAACCACTGACTGGACTGGACTGAGTTAAACAGTTAGAGTGAACTGGAATGAGTTTAAGGTTCCAGTCGTACATTTAGCACTATTTATGTTGCTTCTGTTTTTCCATAGTCCGTGCAAAACAAAGTAAAATAAAGAACTGTAGGCCTATGAATAAAATAATCCTTTAACTTGTAACTATTATTAATGTTATTATTAATCAACCTCAGATAAGGAAAGAATGGTATTAAGATTGTGCAATAATTTTGTTGAGTCCAATTAAACCCATTTAATTATTCCAGTCTTTATTATGCTTGCCTTCTGTCTTCTGTTTGAAGATGGTGGAGCAATTGTAGTTAACGTTTGCACCACTCTTATCAGCTGACGATAGTGATCACAACTAACACTGAAATAATCATCCTACAGTACAGCCTACTATTGATAATATTTCATGCCCTTTCAATTAGCCTTAAGTGAAAAATAATCATCATGGTTGACAACTTCAATTTTGTAAAAAATGAGTAAATAAAAATATAACCAATTAACTTGGTACTGAAGGTATCGGTACCGACATTTCACCATTGGTTCTCGGTCCCTGTACTTTTCCCAAGAACCGGTGAAACCGACATTTGACGTTTTGAAGCTTTGTAATAGACCAAGGTTTGAGTTTTTCAGGTTTAAGGCTCATTATTATTATTTGGAGGAAAATTAAATAGCTGTAGTCATAATTTTTAATTAGGCTTAGAACATTTAAGCCTAGTGGTTCAGTGGTACACAGTAGTTCTACTAAATTGTGCACGTGCTGTAGATTTTTTGTTTAAAAAATAAATCCAGAAATTAATGGTGGTTTCGCAAGAAAAATTGATATGTTACTATTCAGATTTGATTAAGTTGACTATCTTTCACACATTGTAGCACTGGACTGTGTAATTAGACAACATCTAATTATTCAATCCTGTCAATCTAAACCTATCCGAGATACAATATATTTGATATTTGGCCTTAACACATCAATAATTGCTGGTTTTTTATTGGCAGAAAGTTCAGAAGAGTTGCGTCTGCCGTCGTGTGTGACAGTAGAACTGCGACCTCGCTACAACGAGGACTGGTGTCGCGTGCAAGCTCTCGCACAGAACCCTCGTGTCAGATCACTCTTGCCGCTTCATCGTAGACTGGAGACATTGTTGTCGTACCTTACAAAGCGATGGCAGGTAAGTCTAAAATTGTTGAACTTAAGTTGTACTGTAAGGATTTTGTTTACCACCAAGAAGTTATCAGCATCTTTTGACCTTGCATTTGCTTGCCTACAAAAAAAACCATTACTTTAGGCCTAATTAAAAATAATGGTATCCTAAAAAAAGCTACGGGAAACAGAGTTTAAACTACAATTTTAAAATACTGGGCCAACTCGTTCACAATCTGTGAAATAACCATTGCTAAAGTCATAAATAATTTCTTCCGATGATTGGCATAAATTTTGTGTGAATTATGTAAAATATTGTGAAATCAGCTGTTATTCCAACTTCAGTAGACTCCCTCTAGTTCGGCTTCGGTTGGATCGGCCGCCGGATGGTCCGGCCCGGTCTCAGGGGGACAAGTCATATCGTCACGGGCGAATGACCTTCAACAAGATTCAACTTAAATGTTTAGTTTCCGGCCATAGAAGTAAACAATTCATGTCAGTTTAGTTGACGAGTGCTTCTATGGGTGAATTGTTGCATATTACCTGTAAAACTATGTTACATAACCTCAAAAATACCAAGAAAAATTTATAAATAGTTTTTCTTCAGTCTAATATGTTGAAATGCAGTGTATAATTAAATATTTTGTACGATTCTTTTAATGCGGTAGGTCCCCCCATACGGTAAGGTAATATACAACCTATTATAGTCTTAACAAAATAGTCAAAGGGCCAGAAACTGAAGGTTTTAACAGCACTCCTGCATAGAGCATGGAAACTATCTTTCTCGTACCGTAAACACTTACTTCCTGGCCTTGTGGCTTTATATATTATTTATTCCAGACACCAGACAGTAGACTGAGGCAGCAGTTGGAAGGCGAGACACAGACAGACAGTGAAGGACAGTTGAGGGTAGGACCTCGTCCTGGCACCTACATTAGTCCTCCGTCAGTTCGTCTCAGTGAGGTGGCCACTAGCAGCAAACTGAGTTTGTTGGCGTACGAGCAACGCTTCCATCCTACGTGCAAGGAAGTCGCACAACTGCTGCAGCAGGTAATTTTTTTTACCACATATATAATTAACTAAAGTGAACAGTAAATCGCTCAACTATCTTTATTTATTCTTAGTCAAAAAATGTTTTTTTGTGAAAAGAGTTTAAGTAGAACCCTTGATACTTTTATCTTTTGGATTTTTGTAGCATCCAGGGTTCTCAATCCCGATGCTTTAATCCAATCCCGGGAATTTGGTATTTGACTATGCTGATCCTGGGATCAATCCCGGGATTATTTTATGATTTTCACTTTTTACCCATTTCAAATTAGCGTGAAATGCCTTTGTTGAATCCTCTAATGTTTCAAACTGGCCTTGCATACGTTACACTGCACAATTTTGATGTCTATCTAAGTAATCTAAGATATAACCACATGTAACTTTCATCTCCTGTCATATTTACAATATATAAATGTTGATAAGGTCAACATATTCATTCTAAAATTAATGAAATAATACCAAAAAAATCAATAAGTAACCGCACTTGCATTGAAATGCCTCTCTTTACTCAACACTAACCTTGCTTAGTCGCACACTTCTGTATACTTCAACTGCTGGGAAACAACTATATAACGTAACTCATTTGCTGTAGTGATAATTTCCAGAAGGTTTGCTCAGGTAAATTGTGTGTGTCCACCAAAAACCTCGTTTATTCAAATGTTTGTATGCATCAAACGGATAAAAAAAGTAGTAAAATTTGCCTAATTAAATCAGTGGAGGTGAAGTTGTGTAAGCTATTTTAAATGTTTATCAGTTGCCGGTCATACATCGTACTAAGGGGAGAGGTGTCAAGAGACCGAGGGCTGACAGCGTGAGTGCTAAAGAAGTGGAGGAGACGGAGGCTGCACCTGGGGGCGATTCACAGGAGATTGAACCTACGCCTCCAGCCCTAGCTCTGGATTGTGTATCAGGTAATATGCACACCAGAACATGAACCTATACTATACTCAGAGCTGTCTGGATATTCCTATCTCTGAAAAGACTCCCATATTTTAGCTGGGTCCTGTCTTGGATGATCTAAAAAAACTACAGAATTTTAAAATGTACTGCTGACTTTTAAACCTTATGTTTTTTTTTATAATTTTTAAAGCAATTAACTGTTTGAACCATTAGATGTGTTTTGCAGATCTCTGAAAGATATTTTGCAAGAGTTTAAGCATAGCGAGATTAGAGGTAGCTGGGAGTTGTGCTGTTAACTAATTTAATTTTACTGTGAACTGTGATGTGCAAAATCAGCTGAAAATTTTGTGTCTTGTCTTGTAAAAATGTCGACATGCTTCACTGAAAAGGAAGTCACCAAAACTCTTAAGAATATCTGAAAATAGCTTGGTGAGTTTCCTAAAAATGTAAATTATGTAGACATCTGTTAGATTGATATAGTACCAAGAGCTCAGTAAAAAATTCATACTTTAGGCTAAAAAAAATTCTTTTCAAAACAAACAGTTTTGCAAATCGCAAACATGACTGTTTTTGCTATAGTGGTTTATATTACCTCCTTACTGTCCAAAATGATCCTTTGTAGTTTACTAATACTACAGCTGTTTCATGCTGCAGCTAATCATCAGGTCAGAAGAATGTCATGACGTCATTAAATATTCCTCTTGGTGGAGTTTGTCATAACTTTTAAACGTGTTAGTCAACTAGTCTTAGTAAAATACAAAGGATCGTTATGTACAGTAACATGGTAATATAAACGACTATAGTTAATTGGTAATTCAGACAATCCAGAGGCCGTTGCATCATGTAACTGTTTTTGTTTATACTCTGTTCACAAAATTTAGACGGTTTAAGGGAAAGGTTTCCTGGGTTCCCGATCCACTTTTTTTAGCTTAATGTATTAGCTGATCAGCTGTCAGCTTTTTTTAAAGCTCTGTGGAGGTGGAAGGGATGGAATGGCTTCCCCTCAAACCACCTAAATTTTAGAAACGGAGTATAGTCAATGATTGAATAAGCCGAAAATGGGTAACAGTTGGCCGCATGAGACAGTCTAAGACATTGTTGCTTTTGTATAAAATATTAAGTCGCTTTCAGCGGCTATTGCACTGAAGCTGATAACTGCATCGTCGCTGTGAGCTGTGAGCTCAAGTCATTCACTGATTGTCTTCTTTCAGACAACGCACAACCTGATATCATCAGTCCCCGTGCCAACGGAGAGATGATGAACAGTCCATTGCCTGAGAGTGCACCGACCTCTGTAGATCTGCCTCAGACTAGCGTAGGCTGGAGTCTGGCCACATGTGGCACAACTCGCATTGGTGATCTCTACATCATGGTACATTTGATACTTTACTCATTCATATTCCATTTCTTAAATATTTAAAGTTTTCTAATTGAGATGAGTCCTATATGAATTTAGACGGGAGAATTTAAGGGTAAAATATTAAAAACCTATTCCTTTTTACCTTTTTTGACACTGCCTCAGGTAGTATTTGATTTACGTCCTCTTTATTTTATCTCTTCCAACCCTTCCCCACATTATCAACTCTATCCTTCCACATTTTCCTTTGCACAGAAAATCTTCATCAGGGAATTTTTCTTCCATACTTTTTTAACCAATTCCTCACCTCTCCTTCCCGTACAATCAACCTATTTTAAACCTCGAGTTCATCTTTCTCCACCACATTACCCAACGTTAAACCAACTTATGTTTACAGTTTGGCTGTGATGCCAAGATCCATCTGGACTACTGGTGGGAGAGTCCGCAAGAGTCTTCAGTAAGTTGTACTGCTGAGTCGTCCCTGACTACAACGCTACGCAAGCTGTTGTCTGTCGCGAAGCTGGAGACATCAAAAAACAAAGTGAGTAAATAGATAAATCTTTATTGACATACGCTTACAAATATAGCAATGCTGTAAATCAGGCGACGTTTTCAATATACAAATAATTTGAAACTAAGAAGTTATAAAATAACTAAAACTATAAAAAATAAAGTGGTTGTTTTAGACAAAAATGGATTAATTATATATTATATAACTTAAATTAATATTATTTGTACACTGTTTAGTTTTCCCAAAGGTTTTCCCTATGTTATATTCAACTGTTGAATTTTATTACTATTTATAAACATAGTCTATTTTTTATTACTTTTTTTAACGTATTTAACCTAGAAGGAAATTGAAGACTTATATTAGGACAATTTTATGAATGACAAAGCACCTGAATAAACATCCTGTAATACTCTTGTCTGTAGGTTTTTCTGCCAAAAAATATCATTCATTCATTCATTTATTAAATGTAAAAAAAACATAAATAAGGTTACTGACCTGTCGTCAATCAATCCTTTTGTTTCTAGTGAATTACTAGTTTAGGGGGTTTTAACCCCATTTTAAAATCCTTAAATGCATTTCTACTCGTCAAACATGAATTACTTAGCACTTGCCCTTGTCAAATAAAAAAAAATCTGGTCGTTCATTTCAAGAAAAGTATGCTGAACACCTTCCCAAACCTAAATTGCAAACACAAAAATCAAAGTTTGCAGAACACCTAATGAACAAAAATCACAATGTCAAGAGTTGCATAGATAATTTAGAGATATTACATAAATGTAATAAAGGTAAAAAGATGAATGTTCTTAAAAGCGTTGAAATTTACAAAGCATCAAAAATTCCCCAAAATGATGTTTTGAGTGAGAAGTTAAATTTTGGATCAATCATTTTATTTGACAGAGTAGCAAAACTACAGAACAATAGAGGAGATAAAAAGCAGAATTGGTCGTGTCAAAGTTTACAAAAATTACACAAAACATTTAAAAACTGTAGGCCTACAAACACTGGTGTACACATGACGGGTGCCGAGTCTCGACTGGTTCTGGCCTGAAGGCGGCTAGGGTACAAAGTTCCGCTCCAGGTTACAGGTATTTTTACAATACTATAATTTTTCTTTGAATACCTGTATTGTATAGAATTCATGCAAACAGCAGACTAATCTGATATTTTCGTCAACTGCTTATTTATTTTTTTGATATGAATTCACTATGAGAAGATTATGAGTGCTAGGACTAACTCCTAATTTAAATTATTTTTTTTACAGAATTCAACATCAAATAACAACGGCTGTGATTCTCAAACATCAAAATCTCGTCTTTCAAAACCTAAAGCACAGCAGGATGGTGTACAGGTATTGTATTTTTTTCATTTTACATTTTTTGAAATTTTAGTCTTTGAAGACTGACTTCATTTGATAACATTTGTTAAAATATTGCTTGGTAAAAAATGAAGAAATCTAGATAAATATAATTTCATTATATTGAATTTTAGCCTCCTAATCACATTTAAACACTAAATAATGGTGTTTATACTTGCATTTATGTGATCAATGTGTTGCTAAATTGCAACCGGTTTTGACTCACAAAGGAGTCATCGTCGAGCCAGTACAGATGTCTTCTTGCTTCATTCGAAGGTCGTCAATTCATAATAAATAAATACATTTAACACGCACACGTACACGAACATAGAAACGAACATTTAGGATTAAAAACCAAGGATAATACTATAACGGTAACGGGACACAAAGTGATCGGGCGGGGGTTACCACCTGATCACGTCGTGTCCCGGTGTAAGGCGGGATAAACTTGAATGAGTATGCGAACCAGCATGATCGGACATTGGCAACGGGGTTTAATGGGGGGTTTTATGGGGTAAAAATGGGTTTTTCTCATTTTTTACCCTTAAAACACAAAATTTTTCAATTTTCCTCCAGACCTTTTTAAAGAGCTTAAAAAAACAAATAATTTAGTATATCAAAGTGTTTTTGTACGATTATTGGTTACAAAGAAAATTAAAATAATGTTTATTTTAAAATTCCTATGTTATTCTTATGGAGAATATTGTAATATGTTGCAGTTTGCTTGTTTATGGATACATTTTGATAAAACTTGGTAAATTTATTTATTTTATTCTAAGTTATTAATATTTTACTAAAAAACACATTTTTTACCCTCCCTGCAGCAGCTAGCCTATGTGGGCTACTCATAAAACCTAATGTTAATTAAATACATTTAATTTAAAATCAATTCAGGCAACTAGAAATTCGCTTAGTCGGCAGGTTTGCAGCGACGGGGGTATTTTTTTTTTTTTTTAGAATAAGATTATACAATTGTAATATTTAAAATATGTATTGTAACATGTCTCATTTTGTCTAGTTAGCTATTTTGTATTTATTAACTGACTATGCTATAACTTAAACTGTTTTATGACATTGTCAATAATTTACAAAAATTCAAAGGACATTAACCCTCCGAGTGTCACGCGTCATAAAAATGACGCACAACACACTTTGTGTAGGGTCACGCGTCACTTTTATGACGCACAAACATCGTTTACGGCGAAGGCTCTATGACTGACTGAATCGGATTGAACTGGATCGAGTTAGGTATCGATCTTTCCGTAATATTCTAAGCTTTCTCCAGAGGTCTGTCTCTAAGCGCTATTCATTTTAGTTCCGAAAATATTGTAGCAGACAGCTGACGTGCGTGTATTTGTAAACAGCTAGGTTCCCCCGGACCGATGACTGATGTGTTTTATTACGTTTATCATTGTTTTAGTGTTAAAAATCAAAAGTAGTGATATACGTGGTGCATTATAAGAAGATTTAAGTGGTTTTGAAGTGCTGGTTGATGATCCTGAAGAAGTAGGTAGTGATATTGATGTAAATTATCAGCCAGATTCCTAGCTATGGTTAGGCTATGCATTCTTAGCTAAACGCTATGTACTGAAATCCGTTTTTCGCTCATAACTTATTTATTTGATAACTTACCTCGCTATATGATTATATATTTGTAATCCTCATTAAATTTAGAACAAAGTGGCTATTTTCAAATATTTATAGGCCTATAATTTATACAATTTCATTGAGCGCGAACTTATTTTTTTTTTGAAAATTTTCGAAATTATATTTTTTTTTACCTAAAAATTTTTTTTTTTTTAAAATGTTCCTTATGTTTTATATATAATATTGAAGCCCATGATTTTCCAAACAAAATGGTATATAGAACATTAGAATTAACATTGTTTTAAGCTTCTCAGATCCGTTTTAATAAAACCTTGCAAAGGGGCCAAAAATAGGTGGACATTAAGGCCTAAACTATGGACACTCGGAGGGTTAAACACATTTAATTTCATTGGAATGGAATGTCCATGGTCCAAGGTGAATGTATCAAACCTCTTAAACACTTCTTTTGTCATTTTTCTATTATTCATCTTTACACTTGTATTTTATTCATATTACAATTTGAGTATACCTTAACTGAGTATCTATATATTAATAGGCAAGCATGTTTCTTTAAAACCTTTTTTCTCAGCTCGTGTGCGTCGTAGGGAAAATCTATGCATACTGTTAGAAAGATATTTTCCTGTAGGTGTGCAGAATCCCATTATAAATTAAAATAGGCTCAAAGATAAGCACAAAAAATGAATTTGAAATTAACAAAAAATTAACATGGGCTTTATGGGTTGCCATGATGGTGACGAAATAACAACGAAATATAAACAGAAAATCAAAACAAATTCCAATCACATGTTTTGTTTACAGAGTGGGGTGAAAAATAGAGAAGTATGTAAAGTGCAATTGGATTTTTTTAGCTAGAAGTGGTTAAGCTGTGGTGGAATACCTTTGAAGATGGACCTTTTTAATACGATCATGTGTTCATTCGTGTCAAATCAAAACAAACAAACTGGCATAATATATTCTTGGAATTTGACATACTTAATCTACTTTAATAAAATCACTTAGTCATTAGCTAATCATTAGAAAATATTATCCAAATCAACCAATGAATAAATTGTTATTTAATTATTGCCTTCAAATTAAGTGATGGTTAATTGCTTTGAAAATAATTAAATTACATATTTATGTACATATTTATGGTCGAGTTTCGACCACTGGACGACCTCTAGTACTTAATTATTTATTAGTAGTAATACAATAAATAATTTGGAAGATAGTACTTCTTCAGCTTTATTGGGTATCCATAACTTTTTGAATAAATCACAAACTATTATTAAATACAAGTAAAACCAATTTTATCATGTTCAATGCAGGAAGAAGTACAAATTCAGTAAATCCAGTAATAAAAATAAACAACCATTCTTTGGAAAAAGTTATTTCTACCAAATTTTTAGGCTTAACATTGGATGAAAATTTAACATGGAATCTCATTTAGTTAACAAAGTCACCTCTGGATTGTATGCTTTATATAGGATGTCTAATTTTTGCTCAGTAAATACATTAAAAACAATTTATTTTTCTCTTATTGAATCAGCAATCAGTTATGGCATTGAAATCTATGGAGGTACATCAAAACAAAATTTGGATAGAATTCTTATTCTAAAAAAAAAGGGCGATAAGAATCATAATGAATTTGAATTTTGGTGGTTCGGTTTGTCAGCATTTTACAGATTTGGGCATAATGACCGTTTACAGTTTATATGTTTTTCACACAGCACTTTATGCTAAAAAAACTAAGTATAAACAATTTGGTTCCCAGGTTAGGTGACAGCCACTCCTATTTTACAAGAAATATAAATCAAATTGCCATCGATTTCCGCAGGCTAGAGTTTTATAATAAAAAACCATTAAATTCGGGTGCTAAGTTTTTACTACGGCTACCTGTGGAATTGAGAAACGTTAAAGATGTGAAATTTTTTAAGAAAAAATTAAAACTGCATTTGACAAATAAAACATTATATAAATTTGATGAACTTTGACAACCATACTTTTTGTTGTTTACAATCACCTTTTGGTTTAAATAGGTTCCTTATGACTTATGGAGGAATTGTAATTAAATTAAGTTGTTAGCTATAATTTAGCATAATGAGGCCATTCAATGTATACCACTGTATATTATATGAATAAAGACATTTTCAATTCAATTCAATAGCAAAATAATCTTAATAAAGCGATTGGTGATCATATTAACGTTGGTTTATCTGTTCCAGAAGGTAGAGGCACAGCTTAAGTTCAAGGTTTGTCCGCTAACACTAGATGATGTGTTTCTGAGGCCGACCATCCTCAAGACAACGGACGGTGCTGGGGACAGGGTGGAGGTGAGGAAGAGTTTTAGACTTTACTCTTTTAAAACTTCTAAAAAGCAGCCTTTTAATAGTATCATTTTGTTGCCTGTTGACAAATTTCATCTGGGTCCAGACTAAATCCTACTCAGGCTTGAATCAGCAACCTACTGGGGGTCACTTTAGAATAGATCGGAAGCTTACATGGAAATCTCACACCAACTCAGTAGTTTCAAAATTTTCAAAGGCCTGTTTTTTGCTACGTAAGCTAAACAAGGTGTTGGTTGAAATATGTTGTTAAATACTTATTTTAGCGATTTTCATTCCCATTTGCTGTATGTGACAATCTTAAGGTAATAATTACCCGTGGTTATTCTGCAATCTTTCTGAATTTCCTTTCAGTTTTAGAGTGATGGAGGCGAGTGTCTGACACGGGGGAAGGAGTGAGCTTGCTTGCACTGATTCCTTGATGCTGTAGCCTTACACCCATTATTCTTAGGCCTATTCATGAGTTCAAATAAAATACTTGCTCTCAGAGCCATATATATATCTGAGTCGATATTTAGCCCCACCATCAAATTTAATCTTTCTCAATCTCACAAGTCTTTCTCAGTTGCTCCTTCTCTCTCCATATCAACCATAATTTGACTCCACCATTCTCAAACGTGACTTTCATTTTAACTTTAACTTTATATTACTTGTTGGAGATTACTCCAATCCTCTCTACTCAAAATATGCCCAGCCCAGCTTATCATTCTACATTTAAACTATATCCTACACTATACTATATCCTTGTAAAGTTCTCTTAGTTCCCAGTTGCGCCTCTACTCTCCTATTTCCTTAATTTGCCTATAAATTTTCAAAAGAAATCCCCTTTGACATACAATCCATTTTCCATTCAAATATATACATTTTTCTCCTTTAAAATAAAATAAATTTGTTATTTCAGAAGATGAGGCCGAGGTACTGTAACCGTAGAGGCAGGCCTCGTCGACCCCCGGCTGTTCCCCCCCGCCTGGCCCCACTACTGCCCAAGGTCAGTTTGTTCAACAGTGTCACAAGGCCGCAAGGGTTCAAGCCCATAGCCCCAGCACCGACACCAGTCACCGCTGCCACTGCCACGGCCACCCCGGTGTCCATCGGTAAGTAGAGCCATAGACTTTAGGATTCTGAAGTAGACAATGAACAATCAAATGAGACACGTACAAAGTGTGCTACAATCTAAAACATTTCCTTCCTTAGTTTTTAGTTTTTGGCAAGTAAAGAGAATGTCAATGAATTTTGAGAAATTTTCACACTAAGTGCTGCGGTTTTGGCATTAATTGTGTTGGTTTTATATGAAAATGAATTGATTCAATATCAAGTACCTAAATCCAGAAAAAGCCTGAGTTGACGGAAACCATATTAAAAAATTCAAATAAATCAGAAAATCAGCTGGGCTATTATAGTAATTGTTTGCCTTGGCGGTGGATAGTTGTTCCAGCTTGGCCAACGGCATGAAATGGAGCGACGGTGACACAGACCACATTCCGTGATAAGAAAAATATATATTTTATCTCTACAATTTATGGTTTTAAATTTACTGTGGTTAAAATAACGTAAAACAACTGTTTTATATCTCTTTGACCGAAACATCCTTTAACTTCCAACCATTGACTAATCAAAAAAATTGGTACCTAATCCAAAATAGCCACTTGCCTCCATTATTTTGGCTGGTCAATGGATTTACTTTAAAAATGTTAGTGTATTCGTTACACAAGCTGCCAGATCTCAAAACTACTTCCGTGTTACAATGATGTATTTCTCCACAGATGTGAAGGTAGCGCCAGTAGCCCTAGTTACCGCCACCTCTGTCACTCCCACAGTAGTGGTGAAGAATGTTGTCTCCGAGACTCAACCCCCCTCACCCCCTTCTCTCAGCAATCTGCTGGACGATCTCTCGCTTCCCTCTCTCAGTGCGGGGTCCTCGCGGCTCTCCACGCCGGTACCTTCTTTCCGAGGTAAGTGCAGGATTTTACTGTTTTTATGCTGTGTGTATTGATGGTAAAGGGAACAGTGTTGACATCACATGTTACTTTACAGGTGTCAACATGTTGTGCTGAAACATCTTTAACTAATATCATCTTTAACTATAGCTCATGGATTTGTACGAGATGGTACAAGTGATTGTAATTAGGATTTTTTTTTAAGGAAGAGCTTGGTTAAGCTGTTTACTTAACCCTAGCAGTGGCCAATGTTAGAAGTATAGAATGGCATTTTGGCAATTTTGCAGACCTTTTTTTGAAAATTTGTAAAAATTCAACTGTAGAAGTAAACTTAGTGTTGGGGGCGTAATGGGTGAAAATGAAAATAATTAATAACTCGAAGGACCAGAACTAATTAATAGTTCAAGAGAAAAATAATTAAATTAGAGAAAATGGCGAATCTGCAATTTGAAGGGCACTGAGGTCCCGAGATGGAATAAAATGTCTTGTGAGGGGCAAATGAGATTAGTTTTAGAGTCTAATTAAAACACACACAAAACTTTAAGGTTGTACCTTGAGTCCAATTATCCAAAGGTGGAGAGTATGGCAGCGGCGTCGTCTATGGTGGAGCGATGGCGGATGGCGGAGTCCTTAGACCGAGTGCTTCTGTTTTGTAGAATTTTGGAGAACGCAACGCACCCAAGTTCATCATAATCACAAAGAGCTCACTAATACGCGGAAGTCGCGGTGAAAACGTACGGAAAGTCTAGAAGTAATACACGGACGCGCACACACTGTCTTGAGGTTTGAAGAGTCTGAAAGCACTAGATCACAATTTAAGTAATTTAATCACAAACAAAAGGGGGAAATTAAAATGTATATATAGTTAAATGTACTATAGAGGAGAGGGAGGCCAGATATAATTAATCTATAGCCTAAAAATACATTTAAGAGAGGTAAAATGGGCAATTAATGTCCCGAGATACGAGAAACGGAATACACCGTGAGTTATGGACGCCGACCGTGGACAGACAGACGCCGATCGCCGGTTTCACACTTTTAAAAATGCAATTGCGGTTTAGAGGGGTCTAGGAATTCGATGGCCAATAGGAAATGCGATTGAAGCAAACACGGCGTCAGGTGATTCATGGGTATGTAGTACAGGAAAATAGGCCTTACTGTGGCGGGAAATTCGAGCAGGCTTAGCAATCTCATTTGAATATTGAAAGCGGGAGTCTATTTACAATAAATTGTTACTGAGACTAAATAATATTACAATAAATGTGGTGATTTATATACACATTAGCATGATTAATTAACCAGTGACTTAATTAACATAATGATTAATTTCTAAATACTCTAAAAATATGAATACCGAACATTCCGGCCCCCTTGAAGCATTACAGCTTCAACAGACAATTAATTAAAAAACACAAGAGCAAACGTAAACCACACTTAAATCTAATATGTACATAGAGTAGGTTTCTTGGACTTAGTCTTCATTGCATGGCAGAGGGAAGACCTTGTGAACAGGCCGTGTGAAAGTCCCAGAAGCTGTCTTCACTGTGACGACTCGAACTGTTCCATCAGCGCCAGGGTGAGTGGAGACGATGCGTCCAAGAGGCCAGGTGAGTGGAGGTGAATTGGAGTGAATGAGCACCAAGTCTCCGGTCTTCAAATTCTCATGAGGGGTGGTCCACTTGGATCGCTGCTGGAGGGAGTGGAGATATTCAAGCTGCCAACGCCTCCAGATACGCTGGTGAAAAGCCTGGACAAGCTGCCACTGACGAAGACGATTGAAGGGCACTTCAGACAGGTGAGGTTCCGGCAGGGCAACTAATGGAGCTCCGATGAGGAAATGTCCAGGGGTCAGCACAGAAATTTCGGAAGGGTCTGAACTAAGAGCTGTAAGAGGGCGCGAGTTTAGCATTGCCTCTACTTGAATGGACAAAGTTTGAAATTGGGTTAAAGTTAAAATGGTTTCACCAATTACCCGTTTCAGATGGTATTTTGCACTTTTAACGGCACTTTCCCATAAGCCACCTTGATGAGGTGCAGAGGGGGGGTTGAAATGGAAGTTAATTCCTTTGGGGGTGGTGAAATGAACAATTTTGTCCTGCGAATCAGGTGTAAGGATGGTTTCACGGATTACCTTGCGTAATTCCGAGTTTGCACCAACAAAGTTGGTTCCGCAGTCAGAATACAGATCGGAACAGAGTCCGCGTCTCGACACAAAACGTGTGAGAGCGGCAATGAAGCCTGAGGTGGTAAGATCGGTGACTACCTCTATATGAATAGCTTTGGTAGCCATGCAGATAAAAATACACAAATAGACCTTAATCTGTCTAAGAGCTTTGAGACTGCAAACGCGAACACTAAATGGTCCGGCGTAATCTACGCCTGTAGATGAGAATGGACGAGTAGGATTGACCCGATGAGCAGGTAAATCACCCATTAGAGGGATTTTGTTTCGTGGTTTATTTTTAAAGCACACAAGACACTTAAATATGCGCGAGCGGATAACGCTCCTGGCCGATAGAATCCACACTTTTCGGGCGAGTAGTGATTGAGTTAGTTGCGGACCTGAGTGCAAGTGTACCTGGTGGTAAAAGTCTATAAGCAAATTCACTACAGTATGAGACTTGGGTAGAACAATAGGGTGACGTATGTCATGAGCAAGCGAACAATGTGACAATCGGCCACCGACGCGTATGAGACCATTAGGGTCGAGGAAGGGGGTGAGTTTCTGTAATTGTGCAGAACATATTGAGCCTTTGTTCAATAATTTAATATCCGCACTGAAATGGAGTTTTTGCACTAGTTTAAAAATTGTCACTTCCGCTAGATTTAATTCACTGAGTTTTAAGTGTCCAGAGAGTTTGTTTTTAGACCTGGAATAGTTTATGAATCGTAGTACATAAGCTAGCACACGGGTTAGTTTCAACCAAGATGAATATTTAGACAATAAGTCCCATTCCGAAGGGGCGACTGTTGCACTAAGTACACTAAGAGGAGTTTCTTTAATTTCGTCCGTGGGAGTGAGTTCAGACGGCGAAAAACATGAGGGGGGCCAGTTGGCCGCAGGGAGCTGTAACCATGGTGGGCCAGTCCACCATAAGGGATGGTCAATGAGAGATGAGGCTAGAATTCCTCGTGAGGCACAATCAGCGGGGTTTTCCGTCCCTTTTATGTGCCGCCACTGATAACTGGGAATGATTTCTTGCACTTGGGCTACACGATTAGCCACAAAGGTCTTTAGTCTGTATGGAGGGGTTTGTAGCCAAGTAAGAACTACAGATGAGTCACTCCACAATACAGTGGTATTCGTAGTAAGAGAGTTAAATTGTTTTTCACAATAATGCACTAGTTTTGATAAGAGGTGAGCTGCACACAATTCCAAGCGGGGTAAAGTTACCTTTTTTAACGGGGCAACACGAGTCTTAGACAATATTTGTTTCACAATGACTGTTTTGTCACTAGATTCACACCGGAAATACACTACCGCGGCATAACCGCATTCCGATGCATCACAGAAACCGTGAAGCTCGATATCAGAGGAGTGAGCGAGCGGAAATGCTCGGGGGATCTTAATTTGACCGAGGTGGTCTTTAGTGTTACTAGTGAACACATGCCACTTATGTGCGAGATCAGAAGGGAGAGGGTCGTCCCAATTAAGACCTTGAGTCCATAGTAATTGCATGAAGCATTTTGCTACCATTATTAATGGGGACAAAAATCCACAGGGGTCATATAGTTTGGCAATAAAGCTGAGCACGGAGCGCTTAGTCAGCTTTTCAGACGGGGGGTTGAAAGCGTAACAGAAACAGTCTTCTTCAGGAGACCAATGGAGACCTAGGATGGAGTACTGGGGAAGCTGAGCGTCTTGCAGGAAACTTGGAGTCTCTAGATGTTCCGAAGCAAATTTTTCTAGAAGAGCAGAGGAATTGGAGGCCCACTTGCGAAGTTCAAAGCCACCACGATGTAGAAGTTGGATAAGTTGGTCCTGTAGTTCAAGAGCAGCCTCAACGGAGTCAGCACCCGTGATAATGTCGTCCACGTAGGTGTGATGACGTAGAGAGTGAGAAGCCTGAGGGAAGGCATCACCTTCGTCTTCCGCTAACTGCATTAACGTTTTAATAGCAAGGTAGGGGGAGCTGTTCATGCCGTAGGTGACGGTAGTAAGTTGAAACGTAGAGATTTCCTTTGAAGGGTCGTCACGCCACAGAATCAGTTGAAACTTTTGATCGTCAGGGTGCACTTGTATTTGGCGGTACATTTGCCGAATGTCACATGAAAACACAATTTTATGAGAGCGGAAGTTCAAAATTACGTCACAAATGTCAGTTTGTAATTTACGTCCTGTCAAAAGAATATCGTTTAAGGAGTGACCGGAACTGGTTTTGCTACTGGCGTCAAACACTGTCCTTAAATTGGTCGTGCTAGAGTCCTTCAGTACCCCATGATGAGGTAGGAAGTAGTGTGGGTGTATGTCTTCAACAAAATCTAGTTTTGTCATATGGCCGAGAGTTTGATATTCAGACATGAACGTCTTATACAAGTGTGAAAACTGGGGTTGAGCTTTAAATTTCTGCTCAATAGACAACAAGCGCTTTTCAGCAATGGGCCTAGATTGGCCTAGAATGGAGGGGTCCGTCTTGAACGGAAGTCGCACAACATAACGACCTGATTGATCACGAGAGTGTGATTTTTTATAGTATTCATCACAAAGAAGCTCTTCCTGTGACTTAACCTGGAAGTGAGGGGGTTCCTCCTGTTGCCAGAAACGTTGAAGGGAAGAGTGTAGTGAATTATCACTAACAGAGAGAAGAGAGATTGCAAAACCTGACACGGGTTCCGAGTTAGTTGCACAGGGAGCTTTACCCATCAGAATAAAGCCAAGATGAGTACCTATCACATGAGGCATGTGCGTGCCGAGGGAGTAACTTTCATGAGTCCAGAGGAGGGGTAGCAGAGAACTACCTATAAGCACGTCAATGCCACCAGGCAAGTGAAAAGTAGGATCAGCTAGAACATAG